AGCCTGTTTACACACGACTTTGTGGGAACTGGCGAGTCAGGATATTTCTGACGAAACCTACGTGCGAATTTTCTGTAAATGTTTTTCCTTGCAATAGTTTCGACAATAAACACACGCTGTTTAATAGTGAACTTCATTTCCACCGTCTGTCGACAGCTGTAAACATTCCACTCCACTTCCACAGCAAGACAAAGACTGACTGTTTAATGCAACCTCGGGTTCCGATTATGCAACCATCGGCGTAGGAGCACTGCAGTCGCGGGGAGGAGTTGCATCCGTTCTGCGGTGGTATGACTCACGGCAAATTGCAGCCGCGGCGCGCACTTGATTGTACGCACTGTATATTCCGTAGTTATGTTGTGTGGCAGCTTAAATCTTAAAATGATAATAACCACTGCGAAGATCTAACTTAATCATGTGCGCTCCTGGCGGGATTGTGGACAACACTTGCGCCGCTATATACAAAGTTATTGGAGGCTTCGTGTAGTGAAGTGTCCACGGTGATAAATCCAAAATCGGTCGGGTGGAACCGCCCGCTTTAGACACCAAAAACTGCCGAAAGGCGGATGTGATTGAAGCGTCAGGCTTAAAAAGTCCCTGTTGCACGAGATCCGTGACAACTTGCTGTATCAACGGCGTTGATCGTGTAGGTGGAAAAACACGGGGTGCCGATGCTGGTTCCGGCAAATCTACTCCATTTGTCGCTACATCACAAAAAAATTAATCGTCGCTCCCGGCAACAAGGATCGACGATTAATTTTTTAACAGCTGTTAACAGCCAACAGCTGTTTTGGTGCCGGGGTATTTGGAGCTGATTTCATATGAATTTGATGCCCTGAATTCAAATATGGCATTAGTTTTTGCCTAGGAGCTCAAATTTTTAAGATACATTACATTTTGGTGAAATATACGTTACACTATTTTAAGTTAAATCAGTGGATCAAATAAAAAAACTCAACATGGAATTTTTATTACTATATTATAATTATATTTTTATTTTATTATATTAAATACAAAGATAGAGGAAAAAATCATCGACTATATATAACAGTCAAACCAACTATAGTCACGGAACACTACGGAAGCTTCTTTTTCGTGACTTTCTTGAATGTATTTTAGAACAGTCCCTTTTTAAACTCCAGCAGTAATCTGCCATCATGTGTGTATCCCATCTTCCTTGGTAGCGGTCCTCCATAGTTTTAATATCCTGGTGAAATCTTTCACCTTGTTCCTCACTGGTGTCTCCTAAATTTTCAGGAAAACTATCTAAGTGACTGTGTAAATAGTGCACCTTAATGCTCATGTTACAGCCAAGGGATTTGAAACTGTTAAGCATCTCG